ATGTCAAAATGTTCTAACCTTTGAGAATACATTATACTTTAACATTAATGAACATTATATTAAGAAAAGGATTATCAGTGATGAACATTAATCAAAATGTTCCTGTAATGTGGCAATGTCTTCGGAGGCACATAAGTGGGGAAAAGGAAAGTTATCAAGCCTACAAAATTATGTTGCAGAACATCATTCAACCAGGGAATCAGGACCATAGGGTTGGAAAGGCACCAGCTCATTCTCCCTCTTGCCAACTTACCCAGGCTGTCTGAGGGTGACTCCAGGGCCCTGACCCAAGAACATAGCCCCTTTATTCATTATAGCCAGAGAAAATAACAGCCTCTGTAGTTATAACCTAACTACACCAACCTTTCTACTGTATCTTCTTTCTGCCATCCTTAGTCCCAAGAGGCTGTGCATCCCAGGAGTCCATATTCTGGTAAAGCTCATTAAATCAAAGTAATTACTCAGGACAATCCAGGAAAAAATCCCTCAGAGTCCTATATGGTGACTGATTATAGCCACTGATCAGAAATGTCTATACTTTGGGAAAAGGTGGGGATGGACAGCTTAATTACTGCCCGTTAGGGAATGGACAGGAGTAATCAGATGCTTAATTACTGCCCATTAGGGAATGGACAGGAGTCCTGTGCTGGTGGACCCTACTTCTTTGAGATGGGAAGTTTGGAAAATTCATGAAAGTAATCAAGGACCTGACTGAGAGTGATTTCAAATGTCTTAGGCATAAAAAGCTTATAGAGGAAGAGCACCACCATGGAAATCATGTTCTTTGGGAAAAAATAGCAAAGTGGCCATGACACAACTCTACCTAAACAGGATCTAGGAGAGATAAATGCTGCTAACAAGCATCAGAATTCTATTATCCAACCTTAATGCCTATATAAGGAAATGACGGGGATAAGAGAAAGGATGAGCTCCTCCAGATCATGTTTAATTTTTTTTTCTGGTCAAGGTAGAAAAATGAGCCTAGATTCTCACCCCATTCACTTACTTCTACCTTGTTACCTCTCCAGGAGAAGACTGTTAGCACCCATCATCCCAACCACTCTCTATGTATATCAAATGACCTCCTAAGGCCTAATGTTCTCTCCCTGCAATTGATCACAGGGCCATAGCTGGGTTTTATTTTTATTTGTTTGTTTGTTTTTTATCATTCCTGTTCCTTTAACTAGGCACTCGTCAGCTGGGTGAGTTGATGTACCTAGCTAAAATAAGGTAAACTTTCATTCCTAGAGAATCTGTGTCCTTGTTGTTCTTGCCTTTATTGGATTGTTATGGTTTATAGTCACATTTATTTTTGGACATAGAAACATGGTACTCAAGGCATTTCTCAGGATTTCAGACACAGACCTCTGTTTTCCATGTGTGCAGAGCAGCGTTCCCTTGATTTCAGGGTCAATCACCCAAGGTAGAACAACACCTCTCGTCTGTACATTGGTTTACATTAAGAACCAAAAGAAACAGCTGTGTGGTAGACATCCCCTGGCAGAAGGGCACACACTTTGAGAACTACATACTAACACACCATTTTAGGTTCTATCAGACTCATCTTTCATTTCTGTCACAGCTGCAGGAACCACTCTGCACTGACCTCATTCAGCTCTCATAGATGCAACTCAGGATCACCTCACTTCAATCCTGCTCCATCTGCTCCTTGATTCTTGCTCTGGGACTTCTCTGACTCCAGAGAAACACATTATGGGGACTCTACTCAGCACTCAAACAAATATTAGGGTCTATGATCCATTTTGAGTTAATTGTTTTAGAGAGAGGAATGGATTGAGGATTTTTTGCATATGAAAATGTGGCTCTTTTTTTTAAGAATTTTTTAAAATATATTTTTTAGTTGTAGATGGACACAAAATCTTTATTTTTTGTTTGTTTATTTTTATGTGGTGTTGAGGATTGAACCAAGGGCCTCAAGCGTGCGAGGCAAGCACTTTACCACTGAGCTACAACCCCAGCCCAGAAATGTTGTTCTTCTAGTACCATTTTTTGGAAAGAATTATTCCACTGAATTGCCTTTGCAACTGTGTTAAAAATCAGTGTATAATGTATAAGTGGATCTTTTTGTGTACTCTTTATGCTATTCTGTATTCTCAATGCAGATTTTTCTCTCTTTTCTCTAATATCACACTTTCTTGATTATTCTGAGCAACATGATAAAATCTTGTACCATTCTCCTCCATCATTCTAGGGATTTTCATATTTCTTTGTCCACCATGTCCGTGCTGTATGTGCTATGCAGCTGTTAATTACCTTTTGGTCATCTCATGTGTCACATTGGTGTTGTAGCATGCAGTGCAGTAAGTAAACCTCACAGAATAAGTCTTACATATTAGTTAAACATTACATCATAGCTGAATGATACATTACACACACACACACACACACACATATATATATATATATATATATATATATAGAGAGAGAGAGAGAGAGAAGAGCAATATATTACAATACAATGCTATAATTGTTCTGTTCTATTATTAGTTATGGTTGTTAATCTTTTCTTGTGCCTAATTTGTAAATTAACTTTTGTCATAGGTCAGCACATATATGAAAAAAAGTAGTATATGTAGTGATTATTACTATCTCTGATTTCATGCACGCACTGGGGTTACTGAAATGTACTCCCTGAATAAGAGGACACTTATATTTTGTAAAATTTATAACTAGTTATTTAATGATTTGGTTTTATTTTAAGTATTCTTTACATTTTCACTACTTTTTAATATGTTGGCATTGCAATCTATGATGTCATTAGCAATCACTTATTAGTTCTATGCCTTTTCTTAGATTTTTGGGGGATTCTGCATAAACAATCATGTTATCTATGAAGAGATGTGGTTAAATATAGTAGTTAATTATATATGTATATTTTAGTCCTTTTTCTTGCTATTTATCACTAATAATAAAAGGGGTAAATTTTCCAAGAATACATATTATTTCTTAAAATTTTCTAAGCCAAATAAAAGGTAACATAAAACTTATTTAAAGTTTTAGAATGCAGTAAAAGCAAAATATTTAGTGATAAACTTATATCACTGAATACTTATATTGGAGGAGAAGATAGCTCTAAAGTCCATTCACACTTACAGATTAGGAAACTAAAGAAAGAAGAGTGAATGAAACTCAAAGTATGCAGAAGAAATAAAAGAATACAAATTACAGTAGAAATCAATGAGATTGAAAATAGGAAATCAGTTGAGAAAATCAAAGAAAACAAAGTCTGGTTCTTTAACATAAAACTGACAAGCTTTTATACAGGGTGACTAAGAAAAAAAGGAGAGAGAACATAAATTACTAAGACCAGGAAGTAAATAAGACATATCACCACAGATACCAAAAAGAGTGAATGGTTAATACAAGGGTCCTGTGAGTAATTCTATGCCCACAGATTTGGTAATCCAGATAAAAGAAACCAATTCCTTGAAAGACAAAGCCTTTCTAAAGGCTCCCAAGAAGAAAATTGAGCCAATGAGTACTAACTTACCTACCCAAACAGAAAGCACCAGGTCCAAGTAGGTTCATGGTATTTTCTATCAACATTTAAGGAGGAAATTACAAAATTCTCTGCAACCTCTATCAAAATTAAAAAAAAAAATACAGAGGGAATACTTCCTAATTCATTCTGAGAACAGAATTACCATAATACCAGATATTCCAAATACAGTTTAATATCTATCATGAATGAAGATGCAAAAATTCTCAACAACATGCAAGCAAATGGAATGCAACCATATATAACATATCAAAAGTACTATATACCATGATGAGTGAGATTTATCCCCACTGTACAAGAGTCATACAACATTCAAAAGTCCATAATATAGGGCTGGGGTTGTGGCTCAGTGGTAGAGCACTTGCCTTGCATGCATGAGGCACTGGGTTCGATTCTCAGCACCACATAAAAATAAATAAATAAAATGAAGGTATTGTCCCCAGCTACAACTAAAAATATAATTTTAAAAGTCCATAATGTAATCTATCACATCACAGGGTAATGCCAAAAAACACATGAGCAAATCAACACATACAGAAAACATCACTGGACAAACATTCAATACCCTCTCCTGAAACAACTCTCAATAAGATAGGTATAGATATGAATTTCCTCAACTTCATAAAGGGTAGCTACCAAAAATATGCAACTATTATCCCAGTTAATGGTGAGAAAATTGAAATATTCTCACCAAAAACATAAACAAAGTAAGCATATTGTTTATCACCACCACTTTTCAGCATACACTAGAAGTTCTAGCAATGTGATGAGAGAAGAAAAATAGGTAAACAGTCCAAATACTGGGAAAGAAGAAGTAAATCTGTCCCTGTGTAAAGAGGATATGATTCTCTAAGTGGTAAATCCAAAAATTCAACAAAAACAACAGTAGCTAATAAATGGTTGTTTCCAGGTTGTATGATGCAATGTTAATATTAAAAACCAATTTATTTACTATACCAACAGTGATCATGTGAAAATTCAACATTACTACAAGTACCATTTACATTTGCATTTCTCCAAAATATAGTACTTTATAAATCTAAAATTTTACATAAAATGTACATGAGGAAAGCTACAAAATTATGATGAAAGATATAAAGGAAAATAAATATATGGAGAGATTGTATATATTCATTGAATAGAAAACATTGTTAATATGTCAGTTCTTTCAAGTTGATTTGTAGATTCTACACAAGCCTAATAAAAATTGCAGCATACCCCCGGACCCGCCACTGACGCCACCGGCAGCTAGAGAGTTGGGGTCTGTTTGGTCGCCAGCAGCCTAGCCGGTCTTGAAACTGCGGGGCTCTTCCTGCCTCCTCCGCGGCTCCAGCCTCGGCTTTCCCCCTAGCACTCGGCGTCGCCGCTGGCGCCGCCCCCCGATCCGCAGGCCGCCGCGGGCCGCGGAGCCCATGAAGGCGAGGGCCCCGCCGCCACCCCCGCGGCGTCGCCGTCCTCCCGGAACGTCCGGAGCCGGGGCGGGCATGGCCGCAGCATGAACGCCGGGCCGCAGCGGGAGCCAGAGTGGAAGGCGGCGTCGCAGCCCGAGGCGGGAGCCATGCCGGAGAAGCGCGCGGGCGCGCAGGCCCCGGGCAGCAGCTGCCTCCAAGGCTTTGGCAGACCAAGTGTTTACCATGCTGCTATTGTCATCTTCCTTGAATTCTTTGCATGGGGCCTGTTAACAACGCCAATGTTGACTGTTCTACATGAAACATTTCCTCAACACACATTCCTCATGAATGGTCTCATTCAAGGTGTAAAGGGCCTGCTCTCTTTTCTGAGTGCCCCGCTCATAGGCGCTCTGTCCGACGTGTGGGGGAGGAAGCCTTTTCTCCTTGGCACTGTGTTCTTCACCTGCTTCCCTATCCCACTGATGAGGATCAGCCCGTGGTGGTATTTTGCGATGATTTCTGTGTCTGGAGTCTTCTCAGTCACGTTCTCTGTGATATTTGCCTATGTAGCTGATGTCACTCAGGAGCACGAGCGAAGTACTGCTTATGGATGGGTCTCAGCCACTTTTGCAACTAGTCTGGTCAGCAGCCCTGCCATTGGAGCATACCTTTCTGCAAGTTATGGAGACAGCCTCGTTGTGCTAGTGGCCACAGTGGTGGCTCTTCTGGACATCTGTTTCATCTTGGTGGCTGTTCCAGAATCTTTGGCAGAGAAAATGAGACCGGTTTCCTGGGGAACTCAGATTTCTTGGAAACAAGCAGACCCTTTTGCGTCATTGAAGAAAGTTGGGAAAGATTCTACTGTTTTCTTAATCTGCATCACCGTGTTTCTTTCGTACCTTCCCGAAGCTGGACAGTATTCAAGTTTTTTTCTCTATCTCAGGCAGGTCATAGGCTTTGGATCTGTTAAAATTGCAGCATTCATTGCTATGGTAGGAATTCTGTCTATCGTAGCTCAGATGGTCTTTCTTAGCATTCTGATGAGGTCGTTGGGGAATAAGAATACTGTCCTTCTTGGCTTGGGCTTCCAGATGCTCCAGTTGGCCTGGTATGGTTTTGGAGCTCAGGCCTGGATGATGTGGGCTGCAGGGACCGTGGCTGCCATGTCCAGCATCACATTGCCGGCAGTCAGCGCTCTCGTCTCTTGGAATGCAGATTCAGATCAGCAAGGAGTTGCCCAGGGGATCATAACTGGAATAAGAGGACTATGCAATGGCCTGGGGCCAGCACTGTATGGCTTCATATTCTACATGTTCCACGTAGAATTGACTGAGTTAGGCCCAGAATTGAATTCTAACAGTGATGCCCTACAGGGAGCTGTCATCCCAGGCCCACCATTTTTATTTGGAGCATGTATAGTTCTTATGTCTTTTCTGGTTGCCTTATTCATCCCTGAATACCGGAAAGCCAGTGGAGTTCAAAAACATAGCAACAGCATCAGCGGAAGCCTAACCAACACCCCAGAAAGAGGCAGTGATGAGGACATTGAGCCACTGCTGCAAGATAGTAGCATCTGGGAGCTCTCCTTTGAAGAGCCTGGGAATCAGAGCACTGAGCTGTAAACTCAGCAGAAAATGGGATTCTGCAGATGACCACCTCTGAGAGCCATGGAGGGAGCCGCAGCACATGGAGACTTCATGGTGCTGGAGGGGCGATGCTAGTGGCATCCTTCGGGCCAAGTTGATAAGTGACTCCTTCTGTCTCTCTGCCCTTCCTCCTGTCCCTCCTTCCGTTTCTTTTCTCTCATTCTTTTTTTATTTGTACATTAGAAGAAGGTAAGATTTGAAATACTTCCCTACAGATAATGTACAACTCTCAAGGTCATCTGGCGTCTGCACTTTGAAAAGTCATCTCTGATAGAAAAGATGGATTTCCTTTAATAACTGGAATAATCTTTCCATGGCTTTTTGAACAGAAGGTGCAGGATTAGAGTGGAACTGCCATCTTGGGCAAGATTTCAAGTAAAGAATCCCTTCTTTTTTCTTCCGTCCTCTTTCTTGTCCTCTTTCTTGAATTATTCCCACTTAGCCCAGAGGTATTGATGAGTGGCTATTCTTAATAGTCACTCAGTTTCAGGGATCTTTTGCCTTTGTCCAAAGGTCAAATGAAAACCTAATTTTACTCTTCCTTTATTTCCTCTACACCCAGTGCTTGTCTAAAATGAACATTAATAATATGGATTGATGGTAACCTTAACCAGCTTGAAGAAAATCTTTCTTACAAATTCAAATATGTTGAACTACCAACTCAGATTCCTGGACCTAGTGTCTGATCAGATTCAAGGTGATTTTACAGAAGAAAAAAAGAAAATATATCAAGCCTAAGATGATTTTAAAGATGAAAATAGTCCATCTAGCCCAATGCAGTGGCACGTGCTTATGATCCCAGCTACTAAGAGGCTGAGGCAGGAGGAGCACTTGTTCGAGGCCAGCCTGGGCAACCTAGCAAGACCACCAAACACATACACACACACACACACACACACACAAGCATTCTAGTGGCAACAAAGAAAAGAAATTGGAGAGTGCTTCTAAGAAAGTTTTAAACAATTTGAACATTCCTAAGAGAGGATGAGAGTTAGTAACTCAAGTCTCAGTAGAATTTATGTCCAACTTCAGACTCATAATACATTATTACTGTTTGCTCCTTCCCACGTCTCCCATGTCCTACTTCTCAGTTCTGTTCCATCACACTCCTGCCTTAACTGCTGTGTAGTATGCATTTATTTTCAATTAATCTTTATCTCAGTCTGTTTATCTGATTTTTGAAACTCATGGGAAAACGCACATCAAATTCCTTTCCAAAATATGAGGGTTTAGTGAAGCTCAGTTTCACAATAAGTGTCTTGCTAATTTTTTGCGATGTTTTATGGACAAAGAAAACTTTACAGATTTATATGTATTTTGCTGCACAGTAATGGACCATTACCTAGGGCCTACCTTTAACAAAGCACTCCTTTGGAAGTTTTATAGGTATGAAATATATGTAGATATTTGTAAGGGTTTTAATTTTTTTGATGGGGTGCTGTGTAAATCTTGTATTTATAAATGTAATGAAGGTATTGACAGAAAAAAATATATACAACTTTTATAAAGGATTATGTACTGACTGAATACATTTAAGAGAAAATATATTTTGAAACCTGTTCTCAATGAACAGAGATAACATATCTTTTTACTATGCTGTTGGTTTTTAGGTTTAAGCTTCCTAATGCATAATAAATTTGCAATGGATAAAAAAATTGCAGCATGTTATTTCATGGATTTAAGTAAATTTATTCCACACTTACATGGAGAGGCAAGAGACAAAGAATAGTGAACACGATATTGTAGAAGAATAACAGTAATGAATAACACCATCCAATTTTAAGATTTACTCTAAAGCTAAAGTTTACAGCAATCAGTACACACTTTAAATCATGAAAGTCACATAAATAATCTAAAATTTATACTTCAGAAATAAGAAAAACAAAAAGCAAATCAAAAGGCAGTAGAAAGTGTTTGGATCAGATGGGAAATAAATGAAATAGAGACTGTAAATATGATAATATTTTATTTTTCAAATGGATGAATACAACTGAGAAATCTTAACTAGATCAACTTAAAAACAAAATAAAACTAAACCCCTATCTCTCTACCCTTACCATGCACAAAACCATACTCTGAAAGAGAAATTAGGAAAACTATCCATTCATAATAGCCTCACAAAAAATACTTGGGAATCAATTTAACAGAAGAGTTAAAAGACTTCTATAATGAAAACTACAGAACACTAAAGAAAGAAAATGAAGAGAAGACCTTGGAAGATGGAAACATCTCCCATGCTCTTGGATAGGCAAAATTAATATTGTCAAAATGGCTATACTACTCAAATCACTGTACAGATTCAATGCAATTCCAATTCAAATCTCAATGTCATTCCTTATAGAAATAGAAAAAGCAATCATGAAATTAATTTGGAAAAATAAGAAACCTAGAATAGCCAAAGCAATCCTTAGCTAGTAGAGTGAAGCAGGAGGCATCACAATACCAGACCTTAAACAATACTACAAAGTTATAGTAACAAAAATAGCATGGTATTGGCACCAAAATAGACACAGAGACAAACCCACATAGATATGGATATGGTTATCTCATACTAGACAAAGGTGCCAAAAATATACATTGGAGAAAAGATAGACTCTTCAACAAATGGTACTGGGAGAACTAGAAATCCATATGCAGCAAAATAAAACTAAACCCCTATCTCTCTACCCTTACCATGCACAAAACTCAATTCAAAGTGGATCAAGGACCTAGGAATTAGACTAGAGATCTGTGGTCTAATTAGACCAGAGACCCTATGCCTAATAGAGGAAAAAGCAGTCCAATCTTTATCACATCAGTTTAGGCCCTGACTTTCTTAACAAGATTCCTGAGGTGCAAGAAATAAAATCAAGAATCAATAAATTGGATGGATTCAAACTAAAAAGCTTCTTCTCAGCCAAAGAAACAATCAATGAGATAAGGAGAGAGCCTACATTTTGGGAGCAAATTTTTGCCACATGCATGTCAGATATAGCACTAATAAAAACCTAAAAAAAACTTAACAACCACCACCACCACAACAAAAACCTAATAAATAAATGGGCTAAGGAGCTGAACAGATAACTTCTCTGAAGAAGATATACAATCAATCAACAAATATATGAAAAAGTGTTCAACATCTCTAGTAATTAGAGAAATGCAAACCAAAACTGCTCTAATGATCTACTCTATCTCATGATCTTATACACTAAGATATCATCGCATGCTATGCTAGCCATGTTATCAAGAATAAACAACAAGTTTTTGTGAGAGTGTGGGGAAAAAGGCACACTCATACATTGCTGGTGGGACTGCAAATTGGTGCAACCACTATGGAAAGCAGTATGGAGATTCCTCAGAAAACTTGGAAAGGAACAACCATTTGACTGAGCTATCCCACTCCTCCGTCTATACCCAGAGGACCTAAAATCAGCATACTATAGTAACACAGCCACATCAATGTTTATAGCAGCTCAATTCACAATAGCTAAAGTGTGGAACCAACCTAGATGCCCTTCAATAGATGAATGAATAAGAAACTATGGTATATACACACAATGGAATATTACTCAGCATTAAAAGAGAAAAAAATTATTGCATTTGCAGGTAAATGGATGGAGTTAAAGAATATTATGCTAAGAAAAGTAAGCCAATCCCACATACAAAGGCCGAATGTGCTCTCTGATAAGTGGATGCTGACCCATGGCGGGGGGGGGCAGGCATGGGAAAAATGGAGGAAATGTGATTGGGCAAAGGGGAGGAAGGGGAGGGGAGGGGGCATGGGGGCAAGAAAGTTGTTGGAATGAGATGGACATCATTACCCTAGGTACATGTATGACTGCACATATTATGTGACACTACATCATGTACAACCAGAGAAATAAAAAGTTGTGCTGCAATTGTGTACAATTGTTACAGTGAATAAAAATGCATTCTGCTATCATATATACCTAATTAGAATAAATTAATTAATTATTTAAATTTTTAAAACTATATATAATTTATATATATAATTATATAAATAATTTCTCTCTCTCATATATATATATATATATATATATATATATATATATATATATATAATTTTATGTAATTTTTTTTATTGAACCCAGGGTCACTCAGCTACTGAGATACATCCCCAGTCCTTTTAAAATTTTTATTTATAGTCAGGGTCTTGCTAAGTTGTTTAGGGCCTTACTAAGTTGCTGAGGCTGGCTTGGAAATCTCAATCCTCCTGAGTGGCTAGGATTGTAGGCATGTGCCACCATGCCTGGCAGAAGTATATATTCTAAATAGACCAATGACTAGGAAGAAAATTGAATCAGTATCGATGTCTTCCTTCAGGAAAAATCCCAGATATGATGCCTTCAATATTGAATTCTACCAAACACTTAAAGAAGAACTAACACAAGTATTTCTCAAACTTTTCCAGAAAGAGGATGGAGTATTCTAGATTCACTTTACCCTGATAGAAAAGTCTCATAAGGATACTACAAGAAAATGAAATTACAGGCCCACATCCCTGATGAATATATGAATGAAAAAATTCTCAAAAAATCTAGTGGAAAATTGTATCCAACAGCACATTAAAAGGATCATTCTCCATGACCAAGTGGAATTTATCCCTAGAACACAAGGATGATTCAACATGCACAAATCAATAAATATAACACATCACATTTACAGGATTAAGGATTCAAAATCTATAGGATCAGGATACTTGTAGATCAGTGAACAAAATGGAATCTCATTTGAGTTTTTGCTGTTACCTGGATAATTCCATTAGGGAGAAGGATAGCATTTTTAATGATTTTATGACCTTCAAAAATGGGTACATCCCCAAACCTATCAAACGGTGAATGATTGAAAAAATCATATCTATTTATGCACTGGAATGCTGTTCAGAAATCAAAGAAAAAAAACTACTGATACACAAAATCACATGTTTGAATTTATAAAATATTAGGTAGAGCTGAAGAGGCCAGACACAAAAGTGTATATACTAAGTGATTCCGTATGTATGAAGTTCAAAACAGGCAAATCTACACTGTAGTGAAAGAAAGCCCATAGACAAAAATCAGATTGGTGGCAGAAGGTAGGAATGTGGTTCAAGGGTTTACAGAGAATTTTGAGGTATCTGCTTGATTTGGACTGGGTGGAGGTTACACTCAAAACTCCTTGAACTGGGTGTTTAAAATGGTTACATTTCCTTCTATGCAAATTGTACTTCAAGAAAATTGAAAAGTGCCCTTGTCCTTGATGTTATCACAGGTTAATCAGTTATGAATTTGCATACTTTACTGGATGATCAAGTATTGTTTTTCCTGATTAACACTAACGTTAAACATTTTTTCACACTGTTTATGAATTCTGTCCATATTCTTTGTACATTTCTATATTCTGTATGTTTTATTCTTACTAGAATATTTG